CGATAACCATTCGCCATTGTCCCTCGGCTTTCTTCGGTATCATAAACATCGGTGAGCCGTACGGCGAGTTACTGGCTCGAATTCGGCCAGCGGCGATTTCGCGATCTAGTATGTCTCTCAGCGCGCGTCTCTGATCTTCTCCTTGAGCATAGAGGGAGGCGACCTTCAGGTTCGCCCCCTCCTTAAGCTCAAACTTCAAATCGTAGGACCTCGAAGGGGGAAGGGTCTCTCCTCCCTTCTTCGGATTAAACACGTCAATGTACTGGTGGTATTGTTCAGGAACTACCTGGAACAACTCGTCTTGTTCCTCCGGGCTCAGCTCTTCGAGCTCATCTTCGCCTCGGAGGTCTGTCTCGTCGGTTCGGGTCCTGAGCCCTATGGCTGCCAGGACCGCAACATCTTTCGTCTGTGGAAAGGGAGAGGATAACTCTTCCTTTTCACTCGGCAAGGGTAGGGGAAAGGACACTGCGCTTTCCTCATTGTTCGTCTGGGGAATAGGGAAGGATATCATATTCGCTCCCCCATTCAGGATCACCCCTTCTTCTTTCATCCATTCCCATCCTATCACGACATCCGCGTCGCAAAGGGTGGTAACATCCAGCTTAATTGGGCGAACCTCGCCTAACTTCTCAACACCCAGACTCACTTCGACAAACTCCGTAATGGGTCCAGCCACACTAACCGAGCCATCGAACATGTGAACAGGTACACTCACAGGGTATTTCCTCTTCTCCTTCCTAATCTTCCTGGCCGCCTTGGGACTTATATACGAACAGGTCGCTCCAGTGTCCCACAAGGCTGTTAGTTCAACTCCGTCGACATACACATTAGATTTGGGTTGGTTGTTACAGGTGGAAGGGATTAGGGTATGACAGTCGTTTATACATTTCGGAGTGGTGTTTACGGATTTATATACACATTTACCTGGTCTCATCAGCTCTTTCCTTTTACTGGGGGTAGGAACAGTGGCCGAGAGAATATGAGTGCGGACCCGCCGAGTCTCGCCTATCGCGACGGGTCCCCATCTTTTTCCTCCTCGTCCATCCCCCGCTCTCCAACATCTGCTTCCTCCCTTCCGACTGCATTGATCTTCTTCCTGTCCCCAAGAGGGACGGCATTCCCCCCGGTGCTAAATCTCCCTTCTACTCCAGCATTTTGTCCAAAAGATCGCAAGGGGATGATCCCTGCCTTGATCTTCGCCGCTATTACAGGACAATCCCGGTTATAATGCCCTCTCTCTCCACATCCAGTACACTTCCCTTCCTCTCGACGCTTTAAAACCTCATCAGCACTGGGTCTCGGCCAACGGCGATTTAGTTCGTCTACATCCGTTGGTATCGCCCTTCCCCCGTTCGTGCCTCTAGGCTGCACGCCCTCGACCTTCGCCGTAGATTGCCATTTCTCCTGGCTCCCCCGCTCCCCTCCTCGATTTACTTCCTCTCTCCTCTCCCCCTGTTCCTTTACCTCCTTCCTCTTCTTCTCATTCTCCTTTTCCACCTTTCGTTGATGCAAGCGATTGTCCATGGGGACCACGAACTCGATTAATTCTCGGACGGTCTTGAAAACTTTTCCATGCCGGGCAATTTCATCCAGCAAGTGGCTTTTCAGTCCGTTCTTCGCCCGGTCTACGAGGTTTCCATCATCACCCCATCCTAATACCGCTACATATCGCTGAAAGGCGGCGAAGTACGCCGAAGCCGACCCATTCTGACGAAGCTCGTTTATTCCCCTTGCGGCGGTTCCTTCTTCGTCAGGGTCTCCGAAATTGGTTTTGAGATATTGAATAAACTTCTTATAATCTAAAAGGTGTTCAGGGGGATCGTCCTTAGGTAAGTCCGGCTGGACGGCAAGAAGAGGAGTTTCACGTAGATGTGAGATCATGAAAAAGATTTTTACTCGGTCGGTGGGGAACTTGCGGGCGTTGATTTCGAAATGGACTTCACATTCTGAGATGAATGCCGTGAGCTTTGACCTCTCGCCTCTCCACAGGTCTGGGAGGGGAAGCTTTATCCCTCCACCCATCTCAGCAACTCCTGGGGTCGCCGAAGCCTGTCTTCCAATGGCGAGCCGTACCCCTTCCGAGATCCCCTCGACTATTCCTCCAACCGTCTCCTGTTCCTTCTTCTTTTCCTGTTCCTCTCGACGTTTCCTCTCTGCTATCATATCCTTATTCATCTCCATCATCATGTTCATTATCGCCAGCATCATCTTCTGTGTTGTGGCCTCCTCCTCAGTTCCTCCTACTACTTCGCTCCCGGCCGAACTGAGCCTACCTCCTGTGTTCCCTTCCCTTGGTCGTGGGGTCTGTCCCGAGTCTTCGGAACCTGTCCTCACCGCTGGCGGTTGTGATAGTCCGGTCTGCTGGGGGGGTGGTTCAAAAGGTAGGGGTGGATAAAAATCGTCGCCTTGAGTTGATCCTTCGGGGGTATCAATTGCACCAGGCAATGGTCCCAAGCTTTGTCTTAATTCCTCCAACATCCTCCTCTCCGTCTCTTCTGCTGTTTCTCCTGGTCTACTCATACTTCTTGTAATTCTCCTCTCTGGCTGCATACAATCTCGAACTTCTCCGAGGTTTGTACGGGTCGTCGGTAGGAGCGATCCTTGATACTGTCACAGACGTCGTTTCTTCTTCTCTACTGACCGACGGTCGACAAACCTCGGCTAACTACGTTGTAATGGGGCGTCGTTGTCTCACTAACACAGGGTACTCGACGAGGAACTACGGCTAACTTCGCCGTAGTGATGTGTCGAGTGGTAAATGATAGGATGATCGTCGATGAACTGCGGCTAACTTCGCCGTAGTACGTTGAACTGCTAAGTGGTAGCTCTCCTTAACTCGAAGGTTGTAGCTAATGAATATATCTCTCGCTACTGACAACAATCAAGGATCGCTGAAGAAGTTCAGCGATCTGTAAACTATCTATACTACTCCTCTCCTCTCATAGAACGTCTCTCAACTCCTGCACTGCCTCACGCTCAGTCCCCTTCGTTCAACTTCGCCGTACCTCGCCATATCCCCGATATCCTACTCCGCTCACTTCGACTAACTTCGCCTAACTTCTCCTGTCCTGCTCTCCCTCGGCTCCCTTCCACTAACTTCGCCGTAGTTCTCCGCTAGGCGGGGTTATCGTGACAAATCCCCCTTTGGTTCTCGTAACTTTGTCGTTGTTGGTCTCAGTGGTTCGAGTGGAGGTTGGTGGTGGTGAAAGGAAGGTCGGTGATGGTGAAAGGAGGGTCGGTGATGGTGGTTGTCAGGGATGTTACGACGTAGTTCGTGACAAGATGGAGACGCTTTTAATCCAGCCTGTGTGATACCAGCCGCAAAGAAGGGAGCCGGTGTGATGGTATGGGCGGCGATTTGGCTTGGAGGAAGGACGGAACTGGTTCGATTTGATCTTTCTGTGAGTACAGGAAAGAGGATGGGAGTTACAGGGGCGGTATACTTGGAACAGATTGTGAAGAAGCCGCTATTGGAGGTGTGGAAGAAGGTAGTACAGTTGTGGAGAGGATATGGGACACCTTACATCCTACAGGACAATGTACCCCTCCATTGGACCCCTCCAATCCAAGCATTTCTGTCACGTCCGTGAAATAACTTGTTTCCAAAAGACCGACGGTCGACGAACCTCGGCTAACTTGATGATTCTAATTCGATGTCTCACCCAACCAGGAGGGCGCAGACGTCAAAAGGAGTGTAACTACGGCGAGCTTTGGCGCAGTTACTCTATCTGGGGATTTTCTCTGATGGCGATGTATCTCGTTTTGTATGGTAGCTATCTCTATCAATCTTTCACTACTGACAACAATCAAGGATCGCTGAAGAACTTCAGCGATCTTCTCAGCTAATAGTATCCACCACTCCTAGATGTTCATCCAACCCATCCGCGCTTCGACGCACTTCGGCCAACTTCCCCGAACCATCAAACACCCAATCCTCTAACCTCGTCTAACTCCGCCGTACCTCTGCTTCCTCCATCCCTAGTCAACCTAACTTTGCCTAACCTCGTCGCACCTCGGTTCCCTTCACCCTTAACCTGTCTAACTTCGCCTAACTTTGTCGTGGTTGGTCTTAGATGTCCTAGGATACGTGTAAACCGAAGAGGTCAAGAATTGATGGAGGTTTGATGGTCAAAGGAGGGTCGTTGTTGGTGGGATTTAGGGGTGTCACGACGTAGTTCGTGACAATTTCTGAAGAAGCACAAAGTCCGATACATCGATCATCCAGCATCCAGACCTCAATCCTATTGAACATTGCTGGGCCATTGTCAAGCGCCAACTTAAACTACTCCCTCAACGTCCTACAAACCTTGATGAGCTATTTGAGGCTGCAAACAAGCTATGGATGGAGATACCACAGGAGAAGATTGATGCTTGTATTGAGAGCATGGAAGCAAGGAGGAAGGCAGTCAAGAAGGCGAAGGGTTTTGGTACAAAGTACTGATTGCCTACACAAGTCATCTTAGTAAGTTATCTTCCTGACAGGCATATGCATCAGTTGACAAAGTTTCAGGTCACTAGCTATCTTGATGCATGAGTTATGAGGTTAGACGGTTAGGGGATGTGTAGGAGGAAAATTGCACGGACCAAATTTCATGCGCGAAGTTGCATGACTTTTTGGACCCGACTGTAGGGATTGCCCTGGACGTCCACTGTACTCGTACTCGCTGTTAGTCAAGGTGATCCGGCGATTACGGTGAGCTCGGTGAGCTCGGTGACAGGTTCAATCTTACCATTTTAGAAGTTCCGGTCATCTCGGGCATGGTAGTGGAACCTGTGCATCAAACGAGATCAAAATGGATATTCTCCCTTTTCGGTTTAGTCCCAATCTTCGGAGAATGATGATCCGTGCGACTTTCTCACGCTCCGTTGGACAACTTCCAAAGAGGTTCTCTCTTTACCCCCTATATCTACTTCTTTCTTCAACCATCATCTCTCTCTCTAAGTTTCAATTCATTGCCCATCATATCTGGAACTTGTCAGTGTCCAACACAAAGTCAAACATGTCACTAGTAGTAGACATGTCCGAGCAGAGAGAAGTACAATCATGTGAAGAGCGTACATTGACATTGCAAGAACTCTCCGAGGATCTAACCAGGTTTGTCCTAAGATGCACAAGGGGGGAAAAATATTACTTTCTAGAGACAGATAAAGCCATTTTATACTCGGGGGCCTCACAAGGATTACAATTCATTACAGAATGGGTTGCATCCACGGATTCTGATTACAAAAGATTTGATGTAACCGATGAAGATGTAGATAATGTGATCTCTTGGTGTCAGTCAGTTCTGCTGCAGGGCAAAGGTGAGTACAAGGAGTCACCGGCTTACTGCTTACTGTCTGATGAGTAGAACTTGAACCAAAAGCAACAGAGGATTGTGCTTGGTACTTGTGGCAGATCTGTAGAGCCCCTTTTGATAAAATCAAGTCTGAAAAGCGAGCAACACGTAATAGGCTTCTGAAGGACATATATGTAAAAATATCAGGGAATCGGACAACTAGTGGGAAAACAGGCGCGGATGAAGGTATCAGACTTATGATGCATCTCCTGAGCTGGATGACAATGGACAAGGAATTGTCATTTGGGCTGGAACGCAGTAGGGTGATATTCGATTGGGCGCCTAAATCCGCCTCAATCCCACCGAAACAACCTCGGCGGTATCGACAGAATAAATCACGTGTTCACCAGGTTGGCGCTGAAGATGGCAGAGGAGGTAGCGGAGCATCAGCATCAGCTTCCCAGGTGACCGAAGTTCCGGATCTGAATGATACAACCCTTATCACAGAGTGGTAACTCATATGATGCCAAAAGGGAGATCCTTGATATCATTTTGTTCTGCAGTGTGTTGACTTCTTGTTGGAACAAAGCTGGATCAGTTTGGAGGCAACTTCAGAACAAGGTGATCAGCAGATTGATAATTGATGCAGTGTCCTATGATCATGACGAGTATATACTATACATCCACGCTTCTTGTCCTACCCTTCCCTTCCCCACCTTCTCTTCATCCTCATCCTCGGTTCTACCCGTCCTACGAAGCAACGGATTTGTGAAGTTTGATCATGAAGGATACTCATATCCGCTCCTTCTCTTTCCTCCTCTTCCCATACCTTGACCTTGACCCTCTCTTCCCAATCCCATTCCATACGCACCTCCGCTATTCCCTCTTGCTCCTTGCTCTTGTTCTTGAACCGAATAAACCTGTGGGTTCTGATAGACCGAACGTCTTACTTGTCCATCCCCAACACTCTTTCTCCATTCATCCGCATTTTTCAAAACTTCCATCCTTTCCACTTTTTCTTTCCCTCTCCCACTCGCACTTCCACCACTTGCACTACCTTGACTACCTCCCATCCTCTCCTTTTCCTTTTCTTTCCTCAACATTTCCGCTTTTTCCCTTTTCTTCTGAGCTTCCCATTTCATCCTAGCTTCCGCAGCTTGAACCTCTTCCCTCATTTTGGCGGTCACGGGTTCTTGTAAAGAACTTAATCTTTTCCTATGTCTTTCTGCTAATTCTTCAAAAGTCATCGATCTTTGTGGACGTGGTTTTGATTGAGTTGGATGTAAAATAGAAGCAGCAGAACCTGTAACGATATGTTGATTATGTGATGATGGTTCATGATAAGTCGAACGTCTTTCTCCGATTTCGTTCTTTTGTCCTTGATGTTGACCATATCGAATAGATTGATCAGTAGAGAGAGGTCTGGTTAGATCCGCCATGGATCTTCTACCTTCTCTATCATCCTTATTCCATCCTGATTCTAATCCTGAGATTTCGTGCATGCTTTTAGTCCTTCCTCGCCTGTCGTCCATTCCTAACCCCGGATTCAAAGGGACATACCCTTGGATCATGTTCGTATTTGGTGTTGAAGATTCCCTATCGAGTACCATCGAACTTGCGTTTGAAAATCTACGTCCGGAATTCATTCCCATTTCCGCGGAAGACGCGCTGGAGGGATTGAGACCCATGTTAAGAGGTGTCATGGGTGTTCTTGCACCTTCTCTTGACGGATCCAAATGTGACAAGAGGCTCGGGGTAGGTGTGACAGTTCGGGTCCGTTCAAGTGAAGAATGTACTTCTTCTCTAGCTTTTTTAACTTCCTCTCTTGCTTTTTTGACTTCTTCCAATAATCGCATTTTGTTCGCTAAATCTTCATCAATAAGAATGGTAGATTTGTTGTTTGGAGGAGTGACAGGAGAGGTAGAATCGGAAAGAAGACCTTCAAGACCTTCGAATTTGGAGATACTAGGAGCTTGCGAATTATGTTGAAGGATAGGAGTACTAGTAGTTGGCGAATCAAGTGCTAACGCTTCGTATGTGCTCGTTCTTGCCGAAGCGGGAGAAGGTCTAAGAAGACTCAAAGTAGACTCCGCACGTCCACTCCTTCCACTCCCAGAACCAGGGTCAACGAAAGAAAGTCGGGGTAAAGTGCCATTTTCATAACCCGGGGTGCCAGGAGTTGGACTGCGTGGAGAGATTCCTGTCGAGACGGAGTTGGATGTACCATGACCGTGTTTCTCTTCCCATTGACTCATCTCATTACCGAGGTTTTTGAATCTCTCTGCGGCTTTGGTCACTTCTTCAGCTTCGATCCTAGCTTCTTCTTCTTCTCTCATTTGCTTTAAACGTCTTTGAAGGATATTAAGGAGAGGGAATTGAATGGCGCCACCCATGATGAAGATGGCAGCGAGGACACCCAGTTCGATCATCATCGTTTGTGTGAGGGGGTAACGCATGTTGTCGAGTTTGGGGAAGAGATCGTGAAAGCCTAGGTTGTAGATATAAAACTGAATATTAGCATTCTCGTCATGTCATTCGCATTCAAATTGGGCCCTTGTGTGACTTCTGCTGATCATTGATGATGGTAGCAGGAGAAAGTAAGAAGGTATGGGCACTGACCTCTTTTAGACCTCCTCGGGAATAACAATCAATACCCAAGGTGACAGCGGTAGCACCGATTAATGCCGTCGATACCAAAATCATATGTTCATGTAAGATCGGCACTAATCCTCCCACGAACCCGGCCACAGTCAATCCACCCAGTAAACCCCATCGACCAAGAGTAGAGGAAATGAGACCCCCATGTCGAGTAGCAAGCAAGAACCATCCGAGAGCAAAACCGCCTGTCGCTGAGATCCAATATTTTGCAAAATTGAAGAAAAAGATGCCGATGGCTGCGCCGAAAAAAGATGCGATGAGACATGCTAGGAGGTATAATCCCCTAAGGGTGGTGGACGGCGGGGAAGGGGAAGGGGGCTGAAGGTTTGGCTCAACTCTGTTAGGTCAGTTGAAGGTTCCTTCAAGGGATGATTTCCTTAAATTTCTCACGGATCCATGAGGAGCACATGATACATGCAGGTTGAAGGATTTCAGTGGTTGACTTACCCAAATCGGAGGATCATGACTAGTGTGAAGAGCATAAGGGAATAGCCAGATACGATGGCGAGAGAGGACCTGTGTGTCAGTCATACTTATCATTTCGGGGCTTCGTCATCAATGTAAATACATCGAGAGCCACCCGCTTTCCACATGAGAGTTGGTATTCTTACAATGGAGCAGACATGTGTATGATCTAGACATGGTAGGGGCGATGTCAGAGGATTTGAAATCGAAACACACTGGGGTAGGAGAATACTTACCATCGATTCTTTCCTCCTAAGCCTGCTACAGGTATCCCAGTAAGAATCATCACTGCTCCAAACGTCCCGTACGCAGGGTCGATGACCACATGAAAGGGTAGCCATTGATCGGTCTCATTCCATGGAACGGTAGCATTATCTAACGTCGCGTTCCCCAAAAGTGTCCCATTACCAGATAAAGTGCTATTCAACGTCGGGGCGGTTGAGTTGAGTGTCAAAGTCAGGGCGAAAGTGGTGCTTGTCGGTGAAGCCGAGCCGGAGGAAATGAGCTGAGTGATGGTGGTCGTGATTACTTCGAGTGTGTTATTCCCCTTCGTGGTGGGGGTCGGAGTGGGGTCGGAAGAACCCGATTGATTCGATCCATTCGACACGCTCGAGGTGGTCGACTGAGCATTGATAAGTGAGACAGCACAAAGGAGCGGTAATAGCAGACGCATGATTGTATGAAGATGGAGAATGAGAGAGAAAGGTATACTGTACACGAGATATCGCGTTGGTGTTGATAGTGGTGTTGGTTCCAAATACGATTATCGGGCTATCGGGTTTGTGTGAGAAAAAAAAAGAAAGAAATGTGGATCGTTTGTGTTTCTCCTTTCCCTCGGGTATAAGAAAGGGATCGTTGGATGAGGGACAGATCTGTTGATGATCACAAAAGTCAAAGGACCCCACGCGTCCCTGTTCTCGATCCAGTAGTCACCCCCCCGATGTCGATAAATTCAAGGATAGGAAGGGGGGAAGTTATCCGGTATGAATGTGAGACAAGGATGTATGAGATTAGTCTCAAGAGGAGTATGGGTGAAACTATAGTACTCGGACTGACTGCTATCAATGTGAGTGGGTGAGTCAGGGCGGAGGTACTAGTAGATCTTGGATCCATGGGGCGGTGCCCGACGCCCTCGTCGAATCCCACCAGATCGGCGTGGGCGCCGTTGGTGGATGTGACATGCCGCTGCCGCACGGAGCAGGGTTGAGAGTTGGAAAGAGTACGAAGACGGTGACGCGTTGGGTCAAGGGATGCATGTCGGATGGGTCGGATTGTGGGTGGAAGTAAGGCGTTAAGGCGAGGGCACGAGGGGATATGAGGTGAAAGGGGGAATACAAGGTTGGACGATTCCGGCATCTCACAGCTTTATGCATGCGGCGTCACGCGCATTTGGGTCACGTTTTCGAGACTGTCTGCTCCCTTTCTTCCTGCCTGGTACAAATGATACTCATGTGATCATGGTGGACTGAAGCAACGAAACACAAGTTGACAAATCTTCTTCTTAATATAGGGTAGAGTATGACACATACAAGTACAAACAGTCATCTGTCCATGCTGGCAATCGCGGAACTCCGATGTGTGACATCAAACATCCCTTGATCTCCTAATGCACGAAACAACCTACAAGTAAGTACGCGTCAACGGTCTTCTCTTTCTTGCCTGGTGTAACTCATGGAAAACATGCATCTTCTCTTCATAGTTCATCATCAAACGTTCTAAACCATCCAATTCTACATCCACCTTGGATGATCATCGTCAATAAAGCTACGCATTATCCGGCGGACCCATACCAAACACCGTCTCATCGATCTCCCACACGGAGTCCTGTGTTAAGAGATAATCGTTAACGGGTCTAACTGTCCCGTTTTCAGCAAAATAGAAAGCACCCATTTGAATAGCGTTTACTGAAACCCTGCTCCACGGAGTAGTACCAGTAGGTACGAGTAAAGTTACCACCGGAGCTGTTCTTGCTGCCTCCCAAGCCTTCTCACTAATTTCCCTGGTGGGTTGACGTTGTGATTGTCTCCACTTTGTCAAGATCTGTTGACTGATGGTCCGGCTCACCCCTACTTGAGTTCGATAACTCTCATAAAGGTCTTGCACGGGTGTGTCAAGTGATACGGGATAACTACCTGCTTGCCCTCCATCAGTCTCCGGGGGCGGAGCACCGTCACGAAATCGATACACATCTTGATAGATTTCAGAAGTTAGTCGAGCTTTCATATCGTCTAGGGGCTCGGGAGCGATGTTATGATGGAAAGCTTCAAGGCCGTTTAATGCGGTAGCCGTGAGCGTGTCTGGTAGCGTTTGGGCATCCGTTGAAGGAGCAATGGTCCCGTTAATCTGTAGGGCACTAGTAGTAGTAGCGGGGCCAGTTAGAGTTTGAGTGTATTGCGACATTGTAAGTTAAGTTCCAGCTGGATTACTTGAGTAGTGAGGTACTTTGAGAGTATTCGTGAGAGATCAAATACAGAGAAGAAGACCTGATTAGCTGCTCTATATATATGTCATACCTTCGCCGATCGCCGGGGCGGAGATGCAAGGTAAAACATTGTATCCTCTGATTTCCTTTGTGGACAGGTGTCGAAGAAGCACGCGATGGATGCCACATTGAGCTATCATCCATATCGCCGAATCGTTCCGGCGGGCAAATTTCGGTTTGAGGACGACCACCATAACCATAACCACAACCACTCATCTGGCATATCTCACCCAATAGAACGATGGCTTCTTCTTCTAGCGTACCCCTTCTGGCCGGAGGGCTGACAAACACACAGGTGTCAGACTTGCAGCTGTCTGGAGATTATTCTATTAAATCTGAAGCGGTGACTCCCAAGCTGGGTGAGTGTTTCCTTACATGTCTCCTCGCTGCTCCTGTCCTCTCCTTATCATGTCTACTGGTGCTGGTCACTTGTCCACCTCGTCACGAATCAGAGCGCTATACCGTCACACAGATATATCCTTTACTGCTGGCAGTAGATTAGCTGCTTGAGCTGACTTCAAGATACTTCTCAATGGCCTCTTTTATTGAAAAATTACGACAAGCTTCTCATCCGTTCCTCTCACTTCACCCCCATCCCAACCGGCGTCTCTCCTCTCAAACGTGATCTTCAAACCTACATAAAATCCGGTGTTATGAACCTCGACAAACCCTCCAACCCTTCGTCTCACGAAGTGGTCGCTTGGCTCAAACGTATTCTTCGAGTAGAAAAAACCGGTCATTCCGGTACACTTGATCCTAAAGTAACTGGATGTTTGATAGTCTGTATCGATCGAGCTACCCGATTGGTAAAATCTCAACAAGGTGCTGGGAAAGAATACGTTTGTGTGGTCCGGTTTCACGATACTTTAACTGATCCTAAAGCTCTTCCTAGAGCGTTAGAGACGTTGACTGGAGCATTATTCCAACGTCCTCCTTTGATTTCTGCCGTCAAAAGACAGTTACGGGTGAGGACGATTTACGAAAGCAAATTGATCGAACATGATGCTGAAAGAAACTTGGCGGTATTCTGGGTTAGTTGTGAAGCTGGAACATATATTCGTACGCTGTGCGTTCATTTGGGATTATTGTTAGGTGTTGGAGCACATATGCAGGAATTGCGTAGAGTCAGAAGTGGAATAACAGGGGAGAATGATGATATCGTCACTATGCACGATGTGTTGGATGCACAGTGGTTATATGATAATACTCGGGATGGTGAGTTTTGACTTTCTACACTTACATCACATTCTCATCTCCTTTGGAGATCACCTTTTTCCTCTCCAGAACATCCAGGGTAGAAGAGAAGGGACATGTAAAAGATGATACTAATTGCAGAATCTTACCTCCGCCGAGTCATCCGACCACTCGAATCCCTCCTCACCAACTTTAAAAGGATCGTCGTGAAAGATTCCGCTGTCAACGCCGTATGTTACGGTGCTAAACTTATGATCCCCGGTTTATTACGATACGAAGCCGATATAGAAGTTCACGAAGAAGTAGTCCTCATGACTACTAAAGGTGAAGCTATCGCCATTGGTATAGCCATGATGTCTACTGTCGATCTAGCTTCGTGTGATCATGGTGTGGTAGCGAAGGTGAAAAGATGTATAATGAATCGAGATTTGTATCCTCGTCGATGGGGTTTGGGACCTAAAGCATTGGAGAAGAAGAAAATGGTTCAGAAAGGAGAATTGGATAAATATGGGAAGACCATAGACGGTGTGACTCCTGATGGTTGGAAAAAGGAATATGTGGATTATTCTTCTGGTCAAGTTCAAGAAGGTGGACTTGTTCCTACGCAACCGGAGACGGTCGTGCCGGTGGTAGAAGGACAGGGAGAGGAAGGTAAGAGGAAAAGAGAAGAAGTTGGGGATGTCACGATGGAGGAAGAGGGCGACAAGAAGGTGAGTCAAATGTTCCGTGAAATATTGCCATCTCTTTTTATACAGATTCGTGGCGTATTGGAATTTGATAGGCGACCTGGAAGCTTGTTTCGCATCTGAACTTCTGTCCGAAACGTCTCCTTGCTGCGCTCGGCGTTTGTGTTTCACATGTTCTTGATATATATCCCATTCGCTCTCTTTGAATTTATTCTCGAGAAAAGTAGAGACAAGCGCTGACTAAGCAGAAGAAAAAGAAAAAGGTCAAGACGGAAGATGGGGCGGAGAGGGCGGAAACAGCAGAAGAACGAGCTGCGAGAAAGGCAGAAAAAGCAGCGAAGAAGGCAAAGAAAGCTGCAGAGAGTTCATAATGTATGTATAGCATGCTTCGGTTCAAACTGTCTGAACTGTCCCTACTGATCACGAGTATAATATACGCAAACCATTCCTATCGTCATCCTATCATCCTCTGCACTTGCCTCATACCAAGTTTTATTTTTCAGAGTACGCCATCATATGCCAGATACATATCTCGTCACATGATGGTGTGGTTTGATATTCGACTCAATCCACTTTCAACTCTCTATCGTACTTGGTAAAATTAGTAAAGTATTCGAGGAACAAAGAGATATAATGTTTTATATCGCCTGATCCTGCCGTCTCACGGATAGAGTGCATAGCGAGTTGAGCAAGACCAATGTCGACCGTTCTGACGTGAGTTGAAAGATGAGGACCGACAGTGGAACCGCATGTCTATATCTCAGTTTATTTTCACTCTCTCATTCTGACTCTTCTCATGAGCCAAATCGTCCTTCCTTTCTCTTGTATAGTACTTGATACTTAGCCTCCCGTCTGCCATCTGCCGCACCACTTTGTCTCGACGTTAGATCCGCGCGCACATTGTGGTCGAGAAGTAACACTCGAAGTCTGTAAGAGATACTCCGTGCCTTGGCCAATCGGTTTGTGGAACGATTATGGAAAAATCCGTCGAGGGATATCAAATGACCAAGGGGGAAAATATTGTGACAGATGGCTTACCGAATCATTCCTAATTTCAAACTCTTGCAATGGGACATTCGCAGCTTTGGCAATTCTTCTCAACAAAAACGTTGTTTGAGCATTGCTCGTATATTTCTGATTAGCGTTGGTTTTGATGACAACACCTCCGTTTAATCTAGGAGCATGATTGGTCTCATATTTATTCTCGTAATTGGGATTTATCTAAACTCAGCCGCCGCCATCGATTAACCGCCACCCCTCGCATCGTACATACTGGGAGGAGACAAAGAAAGATTTTGTTACGTAAGAGAGGAGACTTTAAATGATCTTGGGATGAAACAAAAAAGAAAAGCATGGACGTGAGAGATATGGTTTTAGGATACGACGAAGGGCGGGACAGAGAGAGATGAGGACACGAACGGCATGTCCCATATCCGCCGAAATCAAGAATGAACCCGTGAGTAAATTGTATGCTCCTCTATCTCGGTAGTCGGGTAAAGAACAAATTTTGTCCACGAAGCCGGGTAAGAGGTTCGATTCGGCACCATGGTTGGATATACTGCCTACTTCTTCGTTGTCGAATAAGATCACGCAGCGTATGTTCTCGCAAGAGGTGGTGGCGGTGGTTTCTGATACCGCACAGAGTGCTTCGATGGTCGAGTAGCTAACATCAGTCGTCTGATATTACATATTGCCACTGTCTTTGACCACCAGCTTGATACGATGCTTATCAAAGAGAATGATTCATGTTTAGGATGAACGAGGGTGACAGAAATCGATGCGTTGTGAAGAAATGCCAAGACGAGTGGATTGTATGTGAAGATGATACTTGTAGAAGAGAGAGTAGTTACACGTGTGCAATGAAGAATGGGAAGGTGCAGCATTGGTCAGGAAAAGTAACCCACCAAGTGGTCAAGTTATCAAGTCTAGGAGAGAAGATGAATTCGTTTGATAATCCTCCCACACAGGATGGTTGAGTGTCAAACAACGATCTATCAAATTAGCCTCTGGTTGCTTTACTGATAAAAACCAGCAAGTTTTAAAAGAGATGTCAGAATCACTTACAGCTCAAAATCTTGAATATCACCAATTTCACATTCCAACTCATCCGCCAGTGCAGCAAGCAACAACGGATGATGTTTTCCCATCATTCCCGACACATCATTTTCCTCCTTCTCCACTTCCAATCCTGAACCCATTGTCGAACCCCATAGTCCTTCAGTCGAATTTAATTGATTATTCACCAACCCTAAAATCGGTGCCAGCTCCGCCTCTTTATTAAACTTGAAAGAATCTCCTAAAGTCCTATCGAGATGAATTGGTAAATGTGGAATACGCAGTAATGGTCGATTGATCTTCACCAATCTCGATGTATAAGGTTTTTCTAAACCTGGAGTGGAAAGTATGACTCTTCCTGCTAAAGAAAGATCTCGATCAAACCATGTAGGCCAAGTACCACCTCCATAAAGTTCCACGCCTACTTGTAAATACCCTAATTTAGATTTCTTGCTTATGGGTCGGAGTTTGAGACAGGGAGAGTCGAGATGACCTACAGCGAAAGAGATGTACGTGTCGGAAGAAGGTTGAGAAGGTAAGGTGAATGCTACGATGGAAGACTGATTGCGGGTGTAAAAATATTTTCCACCTGGGGATAAGGAAGAGGGAGAACGATCAAAGATTGGAGTGAAACCAGAAGACACGAGTCGTTTACAGATGTTGGATACGGCGTGGAAAGGGGTAGGGGAGGAAGTGATAAAGTCACATAATCTGCGGATTAGTTAATTGATGGAGGGAGAATGAATAGTCGGACTGACTTGACTGCGTCTATGGGAGGAGTGGGAGGAAGCTTCATTTTGCTGGACATGGTCAGAAATAAGAAAGGAGAATGGTTCAAAGGCCCGAGGTCAAAAGTGCAACAATCGGGTTGATCCGGTTCAGATCAGTTGGAATGCATATCCGTTCTGATCGGTGTTAAGATTGCGGCGATACAGTAATGCCACACTCGGCGTTAGCGGAGTCACAACCTTGCTCACCTCCTTCACCCTTGTTCGAGGTGAACTGTTATCTCCAGACAACATTCATCATGGTACGTGCTCATCCATTGTGTAGGTATCAAGCTGACATGATCTCTTCTCGCACCTCCACTACGATACCCTCATTTCAATGATGTCCTGTTTTCCGAACCCCGCCTCACCCCACCGCCTACCCTGCTGGATCTCAATCGATTATCTCTGTTGCAACCTCTGTCACCATGGCCGCCACTGTATGAACACAACTGTCATTCGGATAATAGGGTCGTGTTAGAACTAAGACGGTTAAACGTTGCTCCAGAGTTCTCATCGAGAAATACTACCCTCGTCTGACTTTGGACTTTGAGTGAGTATCTGTCTCCCTTTTTGATCAAACTCGACTTTGTGGCTTCGGCTTGCGTGGTGGAGAATTGTGTTGCAAGAGTATGAGAGGGCCTCAAGGGTTCCGTCACTATATGCCCATCGGTGTATACACGTCAAAGGAACAGTGTCACCGGCTTCATGTGACATGCGCAAGAACTCTAGAGTTGACCAGCAGCACCAACAAACGTCTGATCGATGAGGTTGCCTCTGTTCCGTCTAAACGTTTGAGGAACAAGATCTCTGGTTGTACGTTTGCTCCCCATGTTGAACGCTTCGGGAGCTGATGTGAAGTTACGACTCACTTGATGAAACGTATCCAGAAAGGTCCCGTCCGTGGTATCTCTTTCAAATTGCAAGAGGAGGAACGTGAGAGGAAGGATCAGTAAGTCTTTCTGTTTGCATATTCTTTTCGGCGTGCTCGACGATCAACCCTCGGAAATCACAGAATTTGTTGTATTTTGGCGATTTGAACTTGTTAACCGGGATGGTGGCTGACTCGCAGATACGTTCCCGACGTCTCTGCCCTCGCTCCCAACCCCGACATTCCCCTTGAAGTTGACCCGGAGACCAAGGACCTGCTTAAATCTCTCGGCATGGACTCCCTTCCCGTCACCGTCACCAACGTATCTGCGTTTGTACCCCGGGAGAGGAAGACGAAGTATGTTCCCGGAGCCGCTAGGACTTAGGTCAATGGGGATATGCATTGTAGGATTGCGATGGATCACATTTCAGCTACATCGGTTGATTGTCGCAATCACGCTTTGTCTTTCACCGATGGCTAGCACGACGTTGTTACCCCGATGTATCCTTGTGAGCTCGGCGAAACGGATGTCAGCGGCCATAAAAGGGGACATCGCGGCTCCTCGCGCTGCTACAGCCGTGCACCTCGCAGGGAATGAATTCACATCATGTCATCAGATCATCATGAGGTCAAACCCCTTCCCAGTTTCTCTGTCGTTATCGTCATGTTGGGTGGTTCCAATACACGTCAGACGCTCTTCACGCCTGGCCGTGCTGGCGAAGATCACTCCCAGGCTTTCTTAGCTCTCTCACGTTTCGACTGCCAAGGTTAGCTGCTCCGTCCGATTCATGCCACAGCTCACCTTCTTCTCCTCCCTGTCTTTCACCTTGACTTGAAGCTTCATATTTCTCTCCTGAGCCTTATCCTTTCCCTCCTCTCGTCGTAAACGCTGCTTCTTGCTCTCCTTCTTATTCGCTTTACGTTTGTTCTTCGGGGCAAAAGTCGCTGGCAGTCGAGGATTATTGGCGAGCTTTGACGGGCCAGCCGTTGATGATGTTTGTGCGTTGTCTCCTTACGTCTATCAGTATGATCCCACCTCTCTTCTCACTCTACAGTACTCAGCTCACCTGGCATTGTGTTAGAAGTGTGTCACTTTAGTACGAGTAACGTCTCGTCGCTTGTAAGTACGTTAAACTGAGCGAGAAAACCGAAGCTAGCCAACGAGCGGAACCAAAATCTGTCAACTGATTGATGACGTAAGCCGGACCTGTCGGCGAAAATCGGGTCTAAAATGCAAATGACGTTCGTCCTATCAGGTGAAGGCTACACGTAAGGTAAAAAGGCAGAACAACTTTCTCCACCTCTTGCTTTCTTTCTCCTTTTCTCTTCTCTTCATATCCCAACTCATAATACGTATACTTTTCGTCTCATTGGTAGCTCTTCAGCTCAACATAAAGCTGTATACAGTTTGAGCAATATGGCAACGTCTCGAATGATCAGCTCTCCCTTACGTACCGCTCGTTATCGGCTACCTACTTTGAGTAGGAGGTCAATGGCGACGGTACAATCTTCTATCGGTGATAAGAAGGTGGAGATGAGTAATTTGGAACAAGGACGTTATATCAATTATCAACGTATTGAGGATAATTTACAAATTGTCAGGTCTAGGTGAGTGATGGATTCTGCTCCAGCTCCACTTTCCGTTACTTATCTCTCGGTATCGGTTATTAGCCGGTAACATTCCACCATCCATCAAATTCTTCTATCACCTTTGTATCGTCCCCTAACTTCGAAATGTTTGCTTCAGAGATGTAAGAGGTATGCATAAGCATAAAGTGGACCATGTGTCATATCTTGACCGCTAATGTATCTGGCAGAGTCGTGTTTTCAATTAAGCTGACTAGTGTAGACTCAACAGACCTCTCACACTTGCAGAGAAAATCGTCTACGGTCATTTAGACAACCCACACGAACAAGACATAGAGCGTGGAGTTTCTTATTTGAAATTAAGACCAGACAGAGTAGCATGTCAAGATGCTACTGCACAGGTAAGTGATTCATACAGTACTCGCGCTTTTGGCAAGCTCTGACAGGTCAGATGGCTATCCTTCAATTCATGTCAGCCGGTCTTCCTCAAACCGCTGTTCCTACTTCAGTCCATTGTGATCATTTGATCCAAGCTCAAGTTGGTGGTGTCAAAGATTTGGCCCGCGCTATCGAAATCAACAAAGAAGTATACGATTTCCTCGCTACTGCATGTGCCAAATACGGAATTGGTTTTTGGAAGCCCGGTAGTGGTATCATGTTAGTGCCTCTCATCTTGACAACATGTGTGTAGAACAAGCTGACAACCAGTCACCAAATTATACTGGAAAACTATGCCATTCCGGGTCTTATGATGATTGGAACCGACTCTCACACTCCCAATGCTGGTGGATTAGGTATGGTTGCCTGCGGTGTTGGTGGTGCGGATGCTGTAGACGTCATGGCCGATATTCCCTGGGAATTGAAAGCTCCCAAAGTCATTGGTGTCCGCCTCGACGGTCAAATGAGCGGTTGGACTACTCCCAAAGATGTTATCCTCAAAGTCGCTGGTATCCTCACTGTCAAGGGTGGCACTGGCGCTATTATCGAATATCACGGTCCTGGTGTCGAATCATTGTCCTGCACTGGTATGGCTACCATCTGCAACATGGGTGCCGAAATTGGTGCTACGACCTCACTTTTCCCTTTCAATCACCGAATGAGTAAATATCTCGAAGCCACCCGTCGACCCGCTATTGCCAGATATGCCGAAGAATTCAATCACAATCTCCAACCAGACGAAGGGTGCGAGTACGATCAGTTGATCAACATAAACCTCAACGAGCTCGAACCACATATCAACGGACCTTTCACTCCCGATCTTGCCACACCCATTTCGAAATTCGCCAGTGAAGTCAAGAAACACTCTTGGCCCGCCGAACTCAAGGTCGGACTTATCGGATCATGTACCAATTCTTCATATGAAGACATGACACGATCGGCTTCCATTGCTACAGAGGCAGCTAGTCACGGTCTCAAGGCTAAATCTCTCTTCACTATTACCCCAGGTTCGGAGCAAGTGCGTGCAACTATTGAACGGGATGGTGTGGTCAAAGCCTTCGAGGATGTCGGTGGAGTGGTGCTTGCCAATGCTTGTGGTCCTTGTATCGGTCAGTGGGATCGTAAAGACGTGAAGAAGGGAGAGGCGAACTCCAGTAAGTCGCAAAACTTCCCCGGGGAGATGTGTATTTGACAATGCAGTCGTTACCTCTTACAACCGTAACTTCACCGGTCGTAATGACGCCAACCCTGCCACCCACGCTTTCGTCACCTCTCCCGATGTAAGCTGATTGCCTTCCATCGAGTGTCCGCATGAGCTGACACCCAGCTTGTCACCGCTATGGTTTTTGCTGGTGATCTCACTTTCAACCCTTTGACTGACACTCTGAAAGGAGCCGACGGCAAAGAGTTCAAATTTTCTGAACCATCAGGGTTTGAGCTTCCCGCCAAGGGCTATGATGCCGGCGAGAACACTTTCCAAGCTCCTCCCAAGGACGGTGCCAGTGTACAGGTTGCCGTTTCACCAACCTCAGACCGACTTCAGCTTCTCAAACCATTCGCATCTTGGGACGGAAAAGATATCATTGAGGCTCCTGTGCTTATCAAAGCCAAGGGTAAATGCACGACGGATCATATCTCGGCCGGTGGACCTTGGCTCAAATACCGTGGACATCTTGAGAACATTTCACGTGAGTTTCTCCTCTCATGCTCACTCGTCTACTTCCTCCCTTGCACACGTCCGCCAAATCAGATTGTTTCACTCAGGGCTCTGCGTAATCTCGTGGTTAGTGCTGAGACATAGAAAATTGTTTGATCGGCGCCATCAACGCAGATAACGGTGAAGCCAACAAAGTCCTCAACCAATTCACCGGAGAATACGGTCCTGTCCCTACAGTGGGAGCGTAAGTCTTTATCTTGACATATTTCCATTCATTCTGACTTTCAGTTCCTACCGCGACCAAGGAGTGCCTTGGGTTGTTATCGGAGATGAAAACTATGGAGAAGGTTCTTCACGAGAACATGCCGCTCTGGAACCTCGTTTCCTCGGTGGTCGTGCTGTCATTTGCCGATCTTTCGCCCGTATTCACGAAACCAACTTGAAGAAACAAGGAATGCTCCCCCTCTGGTTCAAAAACCCTGCCGACTATGATAAGATCTCTGGATCCGACAAAATCTCCATTTTAGGACTGAACGAGTTCAAGCCTGGTCAGGATATCACGGTCGAAATCACGCATAAGGATGGAAGCAAGGAGAAGTTCTTGTGTACTTCTTCCATCAATGAGGGTCAATGGGGATGGTTTAAGGCTGGGTCTGGTGAGTTGATCATCTTCTCTGCTCCACTTTTTCCCATGTGCCCTTTCTCGGTGACATAACCCTCCACATATTCATTATTCCAACCAGTCCCATCCCGGGTGAACTACTCTGAAGTGTCCTCATCTCTAATAATACTCATTGGCATGATTTTGAGATATGTCGGCTCATGACCCATATCGAACGAATGGATGCTGATTATCAGCTTTGAACATGATGGCCGCTGCTGCTAAAGCTCGAGGGGCATAAGCTTCGATGCTCTTGTGCCGATCATTTCGCCTATCCCAAAAATGTAGCAAGCCTCAGTGGTTGGAGGAAGTTTGGAGGAAAGAAGATGAAAGAGAAACTGACATCTTGTGATGAAGAGGAAGTTGTTCCTTGTTCTTTTTGTTTCTTGTCTCGATCCTCTGGTTTCCTGCCTGATCGATGATGTTGACGAGATAGCATGCGATACGATTGTGATTTTATGTTGCGCCGATTCACCTTTCTCTCCTACACTTACATGACTAATCGAATTGACGTATACGGTGACTCGGTTAGAAGTGATGACCTCCGACTCAATCGGAAGGACTAACACTGGTTTTCTAACTCTCCTAACCCCTCCTTTAATAGGAAAGCTATGCAAACGTTGAAATAGGTTTTGGAACACGTAATAGTGGCATAACTTGATGGAAGGTTAGCTGTGTTGATGGAAAACAATGGAAGGGAAATTCTACTTGCACTGCTATCTTATTATGGGGTGGAGTACAAAAAGTTAAGACAATTTCAACTTCCCTCCTTCTTTCAACTATTAACGATCACCCATACCTTCACACGTCAATCCGTACACCCCCATCCCGTACCTCCATCTCCAAGTATTGACATATTAATCAAGCATTGTACAAAATGACCAAATGGGCAAGAAGAATGTCTAGAGGTATCATGACTAGCCTACAACCTCGGAAGGCAAGAAGTTCTGTTAGGGACCCAGCCGGAGACAGACCCCTCCGGAGTGGCACGGATCCGATCAGACCTGACCAGAGATGTTCCACTCCGGAGTGGTCTGACTCCTTCAGCAGACCCAGCCAGAGAAAAAGCAGGTTCCTAATGTGCTTATGAGGTAACAATGGCTAGATGAAATCGTTTCCATATGCTTCAAACAAGCACATTCATCTGCAGTGATTTTCCATGAGATTGACATGGTCTGTGAGCAATTCGTCAATTTTTAACACCAATCATCAGCCCATGGCTTTCCGGGACAATACCAAACTTGAAGCAACTATTGAGATCGTCCTGCTTACACGACGCTCGGAGCGAACTAAGATAGATGACTGGGAGGTTGTCACGGCCGTCGAACAACTATTTCTTAATAGACCGACGGTCGACGAACCTCGGCTAACTTCACGCTCTGAGTCGATGTCTCACCCAACCAGGAGGGCGCAGACGTCGAAAGGGGTGTAACTACGGCGTACTTCGGCGTAGTTACTCTAACTAGGGTTTTGTTCTACTGATGGCGATGTATCTTGATTTATAGCTATCTCTATCTGTCTTTCACTACTGACAACAATCAAGGATCGCTGAAGAACTTCAGCGATCTTCTCAGCTAATATTATCTACTCCTCCTAGACGTTCATCCAACCCTCTCGCGCTTTGACGTACTTCAACGCACTTCGTCCAACTTCCCCGAGCCCTCGGCCATCCTCTTCCTCCTTCGACTAACTCCGCCTAACATCGCCGCACTTCTGCTCCCATTGTCCCTACTTAGCCTAACTCCGCCTAACATCGCCGCACTTCTGCTCCCATTGTCCCTAATTAGCCTAACCCCGCCTAACATCGCCGCACTTCTGCTCCCATTGTCCCTACTTAGCCTAACCCCGTCTAACTTCGCCGTACTTCTGCTCCCATTGTCCCTACTTAGCCTAACTCCGTCTAACTTCGCCGTACTTGGTGTCAGAAGTCCTGAGTTACGTGTAGAGTAAAGAGGTTAAGGCGTGATGGGGTTTTGATGGCCAAAGGAGGGTCATTGTTGGTGGAGTAATCGAGGTGTCACGACGTAGTTCGTGACAGTCGCCCCCTTCTTTAGCCGCGAACGTCCTCGTGAGCGATTACACCTCTGTCGTGGCAAGAGAACTTAGCAGCGTAGTACCCCATTCTCTCCCTCCCCATGACCATCCTCCACTCTTCTGCTCTTTGCGCCGCACTTCGTAGTTGGGCCTCCTTTCACTCCAGAACCCGACAATGAGACTCCCCTAACTTCGTCGAGGTTTGCCGTAAGAAGCCCTGTGTCTTTTGTAGGTGAGACACGCTTCCTGAATGGCAGCCGAACAACACCGTTGTTTGTCGAAGTAACCCTCGCTTATATTGAGATGAGACACTATAGCGTGGGAATTTTGATCGTCCCTGCGATGCCTTTTGTTGATGAAACGCGAAGTTTGCTGCATGTTGACGACGAGGGGTTAGGTTTGATTATACTAAATACTGAGCAGTTCGTCGAGCTTCTCTCTTTTTCCCATCTGCTTTCAAAACTTTCTATCTCTCTTACCTAGAAAACAGATTTGTTACCTTGAATCATCGCCTCGAGTTTTATTCTCATTTAAATATCTTAACGTCATGGCCCCTTCTACTCCTACATCTAACCCTTTCGCCGCCATGAGGAACTTTGGTGGTATGGTGTCGTCTGCTCGTGAGTTATTCCTCGACACTTACCTTACTTCGCCGGACTTGGCTGATGTTCAGTTTCCTTCGGCGACAGATCTCGCCAAGTCTCCTCCCTCGGCCTCGGCACCCTCTCTTTGGGGGAGCCGTCTGGCGATGTCCCGCCTCCTCGCTCCGCTTCTCCTCCCGCCGGTCCTCCCGCTGGTTCTCCCTCTGCTTCTCCTCCTCCTGGTTCTCGCTCTGCTTCCCCTCCTGCCGCCAGCCCTCGCCGCAGGACGCCCGCCTTTCGTCCTGGTGAGTCTCCGTCCTCCTCCGACCAGGAGTCGCTCAGTGGTTCGGAGTCGGACGATCAGTCAGACTTCGAAGGAAAAGGGGGTGATTATAGTGATGAGGATGATAGAATCGTGTCGGAGGGTGAAACCGAGTTAGAGGAACACTCGGATGATGATATGGTGGCGGTTAGTGTAGAGGACAACAACGTAGATAGTCCTGAGCGTGAGTTCTTCGTCCAACCTCTCACACCTTCGCCGAACTTGGCCTTGTTTATCTGTTCTTTAGCCTCCAAGACATTGCTAACTCGCAGCCGCTCCTGCCCCTCCCCCTGCTCAAATTGTGGGCCAGAAACGACGCCGTTCCCTCTCCTCTTCTTCTTCTTCCTCTTCTTCTTCTTCCTCTTCTTCTTCCTCTTCCGGGGTTCTCCCCCCCCCCAACGCCATCGCCGCTGCCGCCGCTGCTGCCGCCGCCCGCTCTGCCGCCGCCATCGCTCCTGCTGCCGCCGCCGGTCCTGCTCCCGCCGCCCCCGTCGCTGCTCCCCCCCCTTCTCCCAGAGGGGAGCCTTCGCCCAAACGGGTGAAGAGATCACTGCGGGAAGAAGAGTACTTGTGGGAGAAGATGAAGTCCGAGCCTGGTCGTTGGATCGCGGTTGGTGTTGACGAAGCGTGTGATCGTTGCCGGTGAGTCCACCTATTCGTACTACGCCGAAGTTACTCCTGCTAATTAGTAGACGTGAGATTATCACGTATAATCGTCCAAACTGGCCCTGCCTCAAGGCAGTCAGGCCACACAACAAGGCCCTCCGTTGTGCTTCATGCACGTCTGGCCCCTGCTCCTTCTGTCCCGTTTCCTCTGCCCGGGACATCCCGCCCCGTCCCTTCGACGCTTCTCCTCTCCCCCTTCCCCAGACTCCAGCGTCTGTCCCCCGTTCGCGGGTACCGTCTTCGTCTCTCCGGTCGGTTCGCCGTACTTCGCCGGACCTCCGCCCGTCGCCTCCGTCGCCGTCGCCCTTCGCTCCTGTGGCCGGCCCATCACGTCTCCCGGCTGTTCCTCCTTCGTCTTCTCGCCGTCCTTCGGCCTCTGCTCCTTCGGCCTCCCGTCCTTCGGCCTCTCGTCCTTCGGCGCCACGTCCGTCCTCTCCAGTGGTAGCTTCTCCTCCGGCTCACAGCACCCGAAGTCGGCGTCCTTCTGTTCCTCCGGCCTCTTCGGCGGCCCCTCCCGTCACCCCTCCCTCTGCTTCCCAGAAGACACCGAAGTCTTCTTTAAAGAAATCAAAAGGGAAATCTAAAGGGAAGGAGGTTGCCTTCAATGATGGTGATGTGGAAAATGAAGATACTCAGCGTGCTGGTCCCTCTGCTCCCCGGTTGTCCCTCGTCCACCCTCGTATCTCCCTGGACGTCCGTATTCCTGAGGACGAAAAGGAACTCGCCACTTATCGTTCTCTCGTCCTCGGTCTCACTACTCAGCTTGAGGCCGCCCGAAATGATACATCTCTCCTGCTTGACTTCTCTTCTCGTCAAGCTAACGCTTTAAACAATCTTACTGCGGCGTTAGTAGATGTAGTCAACACTGGGGCTCTGGACGACGAAGCAAGGACAAGGTTAGCGGACGTCTCTCGCCGAAGCCTTACTGAGATAGCCGATGTTCGCCGAAGACTGTTCGACACCCCCTTCCTAGTCACTCCTATGGCGTATGAGCCACCACCGTCCCTTGACTGGTTAGGTCGCCGTAGTAATTCTCGTGTCCCAGCTTCAGCCCAGACTGCTCTCGACCTCCTCAGTCTTCCCTTCGAGTGTCTACGGACCATACGTTCTCTGTGGAGGACCCCGAGCATGCAAGCTGCTCGAGATGTCCAGGACTTCGGTGACTTCTTTGGGGCTATGAATCGGGCATGGAATGCTTCTCTCTCTACTGCGTTCCCGTCTGAGACTCTCGATCTACCTTCGGTCATCGGTAGCCTCCACACCAATCCCGCGGGACCGAGTAGATCGAAGGAGAAAGGAAAAGGAAAAGGTAAGGGTAAGAGTAAGGACAAGTGAGCGGTACGTAGCTGTAATCCTATGTTGTATGCAGTACGTTCTATCTCCTAGCCCTTCGCAGGCGCCCTTCCTTCGGCTTAGTAGGGTGAAGTTCGTGGAACTTCGCCAATATGTCATCAGCTCCATCGACGTTCTCCACTGGTTCCCATGATACTGAATCGTCTGTTCCTTCGTAACCTAACCACTCCACCAAGTACTCTAACTTTCCTGACCTCTTATTTACTCTAGAGTCCACGATATCCTTTACCTCCCAAGACTCTCCCACATTGTCTACTTCTACTGGCCCAGGTGGCTCAGCTTGCTGACCAGGAAATATTGGAGGGTGATAAGGACGGAGCAAGGAGACATGGAATACATCATGGATACCTGCCATCGTTCCTGGTAATTCCAATTTACAAGCATGAGAACCTACCTGCCGTACTACCTTGTACGGCCCACTTTGCTTAACATCTAACTTCTTCATTGGTCTCTTCGTCTTAATATTCTCTAACGACAGCATCACTAGGTCTCCTTCCGCGAAGTTCGGC